TGATTTAATTCGATTCACTAAGATGAGCACAAACGCCGCCTACGTGACGGCTCCTACACCAAAAAACTAGGAAGCCTCGGCCTGCGTCCTGCTACCCCAGCAAGTAAAGAAAGTGAAAAGCTTAATTTCCGCACGAACTCTGAAGGAAATTGTGGCCATCTGGAAGCACGATCCCAACCATTGTCCTTTCACTTCATCTGGGGCAATAAACCCCCTGAGCGTGAATTCTTGAGCATCAGTATCAAGCGGAGTCATGATATGAAACGCCAGTGCGTTCTACCTCTTTCACCGTCGAGGAACATGCCCATTTACTCACATATCTTCCACCTCTACAACTACAATTGAGATGCAAAATCTACACTCCTATTTATATCCCTACCTGGAAAATTTAAAACCAACGTACCTGAAAATGTTAGCTAGCGCTCCCTTGAACAACCCACGCACTCCTTCTTCAACGACAATACGTTTCGCTGCACCAAATGCACGCTTTGTGCTCAGCGATCCTTTGATCATCATTCTTCGCCGTACCGTATCCCAAGGATATGTCAAGTACGCTGAGAAGATGGACACACCCTGAAACAAAAGTCCTGTGAATAATGCGGAATCAGAGAATTTCTCCAAACTTACCTGAGCGATCAGAAATGACGCAAAAAAGGGCAAATTCTTCTTATCTTTTTCTACAGTAATTCGTATAGTATCATACATCCCGAAGTAGACTGCACGATATAGGAAATAGGTCTGAAAATCCAATGGAATCATAATTGTCTCCACGGCGCAGACAGACTCTATTCAATTGCTTAATGAACTCTCTATTATAATGACTGCCGATTGCCTTCACTTATATGAATGTTATTGCCGTAAAAAACTAAAAAAATGAAATTTCAACTGTACTGCAGCTTTTTTATGTTCTTAACCACATTTCCGAACTGGTTCTCATCATCTATCCTGAATGCCCGTCTATGTTCTTAGAGTCCGTACCATTGAAGGAGAAGCGTGACCGCGTACTTCATGGCGGCAGCTGCGTTTTTGGTGGCATATTGCCGTTATGAGAAAATCTGCAGTCAGTCCTTTCTCAGCTAAGGACACGGTGCA